TCCTGAATTTCCCCTAGTGTGAGAAATGTGACATTTTTTCACTAGGCATCCCCTCTTCTCTAATGTATTCACCAACCCTCCAGTAAGTACAAACTTTAACGTAAATTACTCACTATAAAATCGTCTTTGCTCAGTCATACCATAATCTTGATTGGTTAAAGAGCCAACAAATAGAAAATCAGACCCATCTTGCCACACCCACCTCTCACATCCTCACTTTCAGGATTTGTTAATAGTTCTCTCTTACTCTTAATACTATATTATGTATAACCAATAGAAAGCCAAGGTTTTCATCAATCAAATGACGTATTATATTACATTGTTTTCTGAACAGAGAATTGTTATTTTCTCTGTTAGTACAAGCTTCATTCCCACGGGAAACATAACGACTAGCTTGGATGAGCTTGTAACGGCTCTTGTCGCATTGTTAGAAAGCCAGAAAAATTGTGATAGTTATGGGAAATTATCTGCTTTTTGCATGTTGTTATTTTATGTTCTTTGTGCATTATATAATTAAATAAAAATTATTTAGTGCATTATTATAGTAAGAACTTATGCATTAGTATAAAAAAGTTGGTTAAGAGTCATTAACATTTAATAGCAAAAAAAAAGAAAGAAAAGAAGACCCCTAGAAAGTGCTTTATTTCTTGTTTTTCATGTGTATTCTTTATTTATAATTATAAAAGTAACAAAGATGTGAATATAGGAATCTCTTTAGGTTAGTTGGTTAGATTAGATAAAATAAATATTAATATAATAAAAATAATGCAAACTCCATGTTCTCCAAGTGACTTACAACTTATAATGACATGAACAGTAGTAGTTAGACATGGTTCAAAGAGCAATAAAATGTAAGTATAAATAAATGTATACTGTTACAAGTTTAAAGCAATTAGGATAAATGAATATAGTTTCATGTTACAATTTGAAGTCATTCTAGAAAGAAAAAAAAAAGGTGATTTAGATTTTTTTTTTGGTGATTAACAGGTCAGTCAAATTGACCAACCTTGTATAGAGTTAGGGAAGAGAAAATAACTGATAAAATATGAAGTTCTACTGCAAACAAACATTTAAAATGTACTTAGTACGTTTTAGAGATTAACCCTATTGCCACGAGTATCATTTACTGCACATGACACAAGGTTTTAATGTCCTCCATTCAAAATTTTATTAAACTACTTTTCTTTTATGTTATACCAATAGAAATAGCATAAAATCTTAGCTAATAATCCATATTTTAATGGTATACAAGTTTTACGTTCATAATTCTACA